GCTGGAACGTTTGCGAAACGAACTAAGATTCACGAGCATGTATAAGATTGCACGACATTGGAAACGTTGTAGATTTTTATTAGTATCGATTTCGACGTCGTCAAATTTCTATTTGTACTCGAATTCTCTGTACTTTTGATTAATCGCAACTGCAAGCATGTTTTGTTGTCAGTAGCAATTCCGAACAGAATATTCGGCATTGTCCTTCATATTATTCGACAAGACGTTACTTTCTATAAATGATAAGGGTCTGAATCCCGTCTGTTCTCTAAATAAGATCAAAAAGAAAAGAGATCTGCCCTTTCAAAACATTCTTTACACCCTCGGTTCATTAGTGAAAAAGCCAGTCTACCCCGATTTGAACGAAAGACAACCCTCAGTTGGGGACGGAGGATCGTATAACGATGTCGTACACTTCAAGATCCCAGCAACGAAGTTTCTGTTTGCTCAGTCACAGGATCTTATGTTGACGCAATATTGTGCAGAGGGTTAAAATTATTAAATAATGCTAGATGAAAAAAAGTATAATGAAAATAACGCTACGCTGATTAATAATGAGATTTTTATCATTCTATGATAAAAATTTGGAATATTTCGCTGAAAGTTCAGTTTCCGCAATTAAGTTAATTTAATTATTTTAACGCAATGACCAAAATTTTAAGTATGGTAAGAGACCACAGTGTTATTTTTTTTTAAGGGAAGAAATTACGCTCTCACTTAGCCCTCTTAAACGGCTCGGTGCAGATGTAGTTAAAGATAGAGTTTTATCTCGTATTGCACATTTTAGAGTTGTTCTATATCGCGGATTTATATTTCGCCATGAGCTACAAAGGTTGTTCCTCTAAAAGCTATTACGCTCGAGATAGCTTTTAGAAACTTCAAAGGGTTTTGAGCTATTGAACCGCCCATTCGCCGTCTTCTTTGCCATGATAAACGTACGCGATTGCCGTTCAACTACCGAGTGTCTAGCCGATTGTCCGCGTCTGGGTGAAATTGTCGGCGGAATGTCTTAGTCAACTATCGGCTACTCGCGAATTCTACAGGGGCTACCATCATGGCTGTTCGTAGATAGCGGTGGGTAGCGGTGATCGGTGTTCCCGCTGTAGTTTCCACTGTAATCATGGCTAACGAGCTAGAGCCGCCTTTTCTTCCTCTGTTCCTTACAAAATAAAAAGCTCTCGAGGAAGCTCGTTTGGAGGCATGCTAGCACAGTGATCGCAAGTGCGCGGCGTGCAAGCCGCTCTGGGCCGATGCCCCTGTGATTCCGTTAATGGGACCTGCGTGTTCTCGGAGAGCAGGGCTGATCATTTCTCGCCGTCGACAGCTTTAAACGGTTAAATGTGACGATAGAAACGGCGATTCTGATCAGGAATTGAATGAAAGAGCAGTCTCCATCCTCTAATTACGACAAATTTGATAAATAAGAATGCATAGAAAATCTTACGGCGCAATTTATCCGTTGCAGTGATGGGATGCACACTTGTGCAACAGTCTAGAAAAATCGAACGTGGCACAACTGGCCGCGGGCTCTCCGGTTTGGCACTTTTAGGCGTGGACGGTGCAGGCCTCTGACCGTCTAGAATCAAGATTATAAATATTGATCCTGAGCGTCCTTCAGTCTCGAGTGCACTCGAGGACTCCCTCTTGTCCGGCATTTCTATACCGGGTTGAGTCGAGGGGGATTCTTCGTGGCGAAATTGAAATCGGAGAGGTTCCTCGTATCCACTCCACTAGAAGAAGAATCAGAGTCGAGCAAATTAAAAACTTGGGCTATCTAGTTTCAACAAATCATGCCTCTATGTGAACATCAACAGACGCTCAATGAGGGTTGCATTCAATAACATATAGTATAGATATACAGCGAGAGTAGAGCTTACCGGTGAATTGGAACGTACATATGAATGGCATTAGAGAGGCGCGATCGAAAGACGCGTTGAATTTTAACGACACAGTTTTCTTCGCGTCAACTTGACGTTGTCTTTCGTCGCGAAATATAAAATCTTCCCGGCTGGAAAACGCTTAATACGAGACGAAAGTAAAGACGATGAAGGAAGACCATCCATAGAAGTTGCTAATTTCAACAAGGTCGAAGGAGCCGGGCTTAGCCGAAGACCGCCGTCGGGTTTTAGGCTTCTCGTCCCCCTGGCACGTCTTCGTGCCCTCTAAACCGGTTTAACCGAGCTCTCGTTAACTTCGTTACCGCTAATGCCTGTTGCAATGTGGCTAAGTGGCCATTGCTGCTCTGGGCGTACTGCCCGAGGCCTCCGATCCTTTCCCAATTACTTTACTACCGTCAAAGTCGCGATTTCATTAATCAATTAACACGAGTTACAAATTTATCAGCAAGGTCGTCTGTATCCAGAATAATTAAATGTCGCAACTTATAAATGACTTTTCGCCGTCTCGGAATATCGTAATTCTTAAAGACCTGTAATCACGGCTCTTCGAGAGTAGACTTAAGCGTACTATTTTTAGTTGTTATCATGGTGGATGGAATTACATGCCCCGTGTTAATCGTCTTAACCGCTGTGACGATGTGCGTTTTGATTAATCACGAGGTAATTCTTGTCAACATTGCGATCGTAAAGCGAAGTCTAAACGGTCTTTAGATATCGTTTTCCGATACAGCGTAGATAGCGACACGCTCTACTGTGCGCGTGCACTTGCAGGGCGTAGCGCTCGTCGATAAGTCTTACGAGCCGTAAGCGGCCAAAGGAATGTCCGGCTACGTGTACTCGAAATCGTTAAAGTAGACAGAGACAGCTGAGCTCGGTGGCTTTGAGGGCATCGCGCAAATTACGGATCTAAGGACGAGCGTCCTAGAAATGCCGCTTTGCGTAAAGCTGAACTGATTGAGTGAGGCGTTTTAGTATGCCATGAGTGCATCGCTTCTCGAAAGCACGCTCAAGACCTAAGAAACCGAGAACGTTGAGTCGCGGGAATACCGGTGGGAAATTCTGAAGATGGTAGGACTTCGATTTTCTCTTCATTTGATTCCCTTCGCCGTTCTGTTACACGAGCAGATGCATTATAATTAAGAGTAAATTTACCGCCGTGCGCTTTAATCTCTGCATTTTATCACTCTACGTCCCGTGCATATCGAATTTTTAAAAGAAGCACCACGTAACGCGAATCATTTATCAGACGACGTTATCGCAAAAGTCATCGATTCGCGCGTACATTGTCTCGAGATGAGAATATCTGACATTTTTATGTACGCGAAACTTGTAATTTTATTATACCGCGTTTCGCTCGCGATGATTACGTTAGCTACTTCGTGATCATCACCAGCTCCATGAAACTTCTTAATTTAGTATCGTCTGTTTGGATTTCTGTTGCAAACTAGTAAAAAAAAAGCGCTTGGAGAACACAGTTATTGCGCGCGGCAACGTTATATACATACTCGCCTTCTTCCCCTCCCCCCTCCTCTGTCTCTCTCTCTCTTTGTAGGTGAGAAACTTTTGATTTACGACGCACTGCCCGACCAATACCGTGGCTACGGCGCTCTGCAGCGGCACAGTAGAAAAGTTTCCTGGAGACCAAGAACGCTCTATTAGTACCATTCGTTATTTTGTTTCCTCTCCCGTTCGTGCGCGCGCGGCCGTATAAGAAAAGCTTGCGAGAGAAGCTCCGCAGTTGCCGCGCCAGAGGAAGGAGGAGAATCTCCCTGGAAGGATATCCGCCGGCGGTTCCAAGAGACTCGGATAGTTTTTCGTCCCGGAAAACTGGTTATTGATACTGCAGCGCGAACTTCGCCGGAACTTTCCTGCCCGCCGCGCCGGAGCACTCGCTCCGTGCTCGAGAAGCGACGGCGATAAAAACATATTTGCCCGTGCCCGATGTTAACAACCTCCGCCGCCGTTCCCGTTAACGTTTTGTCATTACGTTTACGTTGCGCCGTTACACACCGTGCCCGAAAACTCGCTCGTCTCGCGACGTTCGCGACGTGCGCGATCCACGATGATTTATCAAGCGTTCCCTTAATTGCCCGTACGCGTGCAGTACTTTACGGAGAATCTTGGCCAGTCGCCAACTATCGATTCGCCTCTCTCTTTCCTTCTCCCTCTTGCCTCGGCGGACGTCAGTATATATTTATAATCCAGTTAATCGTGCTGTTGTGTATTTTAAGACGCGTCTGTCGCGACCGTGTTCTGCCCTCGCCTCTCCTAGCTTCTAGTCTTCGTGAGTTGCGGCAGCTCTTTTCTTCGTGAGAAGCGTTGAAACTTGTACGAGGAGCGAAATCTCGTTTTATACAGGGTGTTATGTAATACCCGCCTCACCTCTTACTTACGGATAGAGCGGACTAGACTGAGTCGAAAAGTCCTGTACCATTTTGCAATTTTCGCAATAGTTAACGAGTTATTAATTATTCAAAATCGCTGTCTTAGCCCGGCCTACCGCCCAATTCGAATGCGCGGGGAGTTGTTTATGACTCACGGCAACGGCTACGTATAATAAACAGCTCCCCGCGCGCCTAGCAACGCCAATCGCGAGACGGCCGCATCTCGCCGTGCGCTTGAATTGGGCGGTAGGCCGGGCTAAGACAGCGATTTTTAATCATTCATAACTCGTTAACTATTGCGAAAATTGCTAAATGATAAAGGACTTTTCGACTCAGTCTAGTCCGCTCTATACGTAAATAAGAGGTAAGGCGGGTATTACATGACACCCTGTATATTATCATAAAAATGATATAATTACGTAATTAGAATATGTCAATATGTCAGTGTATCACTCGACCAACGCGTTTACCGTTTCGTCTAAATTGACTGCTATCTGTAATTTTATCAACATCGCTTTACGATATGCAGAACTATTTTATAATGTGCATTTGGAAATACGCTTCTTGCAATGTACCTTCTGCCTCTGATCTTTCGATCATGAGACCGGGCCTTGCTTGCTTTTCGACGGAGTTGGCCTGTATGAAACATTAGATGTTACTTAACTCGCATTGTCCCGAAGATAACACGAAGCAGGCGTCGAAATTTCTACATTATAGAATATTAACCACGATAAGGATTAAACTTGCGCAACATTCAACCGCTCTTATCTCTCATCGCCCATACTTCTTTTTATCGTTATCAATATGTCATATGCAATTGTATTCTCCGCGTTCAATTCATTTTACATCTACACGCGCTAACAATTTATGTTTCTGTTGCAGTATCTAAGTGCTAACAGAATGGATACGTCAAGAAATCGAATTAGAAGAATGGTCGGCGCGCTCTGGTTCTGCTTCTTCTTCGCGGCAGTCCTGGCTGAGGGTACTTTGGAGAAACTACATGAAGGTATGTGATCGCTTGATACACCTCGGTTGGTAGAATTCTTAAATAAACGTATTTCTATTTTAATTTCGATTTTATTTCGTAAAAAGAGACGATATAAAGAAGCCCGATCACTTTAGCATCGCAAAGACTACTGCCTCTTCAATTGGGTATCGCGAGTATAATGAATAACATCGTTATATCGCCACGGTCGTTTAATGCAACGATACTGACAGCACGGCGGTGCTGATGATAAATTTCAATTTAATGTATTGGATATTCCACCTTTGAGGGCTCGTTAGCGTAATAACCGGTTGAAAGGGCGTGACCGGTTTTTCGCAATTATATATTTTCCGACAGAGCGTACCGAGCTCCCTGATAAATGATTGGTATTTATCAACGTTCAGTGTGGCTTAAAGGGAGATGAGAAAAATATAAATTAATTATAATAGGGAATTAAGCGTAATGATATTCGGAATTATGCGGTATTACGGTTGAGCAAAGATTCTGGGATTTGCTGAGGAATATTTATAATTTCAACGCACGGTATGTTGATTAGAGCTGTACAAACAGCGAAATTAAGAATCCGCGGCGTACTATCGCGCGGATAATTGGGAAAGAACACCGGGAAATACGTAACGCGCAACGTGTGAGAAACGGCGTTCGTCTCGCTGCAACATTACAGTCAGCGGCAAGAATGCAAGAGAAATGAGCGCTCGTCTGTGAGTGATTCTGATGCGGTATCCTATCGATCGCCTGAATATCCCCGGCCTCGCAACACGAGCGAGCACAGTTTGTAGAAACGAGAGATAAACGTCTATCTCACTACTGGTCCGAGAATGGGCAGACGTGCCGGCGAGCCGGATAGAGGACGATGAAGGCGAAAACGAGAAGAGATGGACGGGACCGTAGAGTAGAGTACCGGAGGGAGAGATAGGCGACAGAGAGAGAGAGAGAGAAGGAGAGAGAGAGGGGGGGGGGAGAGAAACAATGAGACAAAGCGGGAGAGAAACGACAGAGAATGGGAGAGCGCACCGGTTGCAGAGTAGTCCGTTAGAAAGCTACTTTAAGGCATATTCATAATGTAGCCACCTGCCTGGGCGTTGCTCTCTTTCTCCTTCGCATCCCCCGCACATTCAGCCTCGTTATCCCGATTTTGCGCCATCGCCGCGAGCGAAACGCGAGGAGAGTAACGTTGACGACCGCGAGGGCGCACCATATGATTTAGCCGTAAATTCGATCTGCATAACAAGGCGTGGGACCCTCATGAATAAAGTCATTCCTATTTCGGTATTAATCACGCCTCGCGCAACACCACCGGGGCGGTAAGCGCGAACAGCGAAGCCGGGGCGCGTTCGCTCTCGTTTCCCGTCTCTCGGAACGCACTGCCGGCGTTTTAACGAGCTATCGGAAATTCCGATCTTTTAGACCATTCGAGACCAGCGCGCTTGGACGTTTAATTACATCCACCGTACTCGCGAATGTTCGCGCGATATAATAATAATGACTCACTCGCGCTGAGGGACGAGTGTTTCGATACGACAGCGATCGCGTTCGCGCCTTCCTCTTCCTACATTTCGCGCTCGCGCGTCTTTCCCATCCTCTTTAACTTGCGGCAAAATTGTGTAAATGGAGAAGTTCTGCCGGATATATCATATTTCACATATCTCGAATATGGGTCATCGGTTTCTACGATTTCTTTCTTGGTGATAGCGCGAAAAAGTAATCTCTTTTCAGGGATATGCGGCGTCTGTCTGTCGCGACCGTGATTAGGTGCTTTCGATGTAACCGACCGAAATGGCGTTATAAGCGACCAATGTGCAAACTAAAGTGGTTTTACTAAGTTTTCTAGGGAGTTATCTATCGCGGTCGCAGTAGTAGGTAGCGTGGATAAAGTATCTACGCCTTCCGGCCGATAGATCCTCCTCCTCCTCTTGCTTCCTCTTTAGTTCTCTGTTCACGAGCGTAGCAGGTTCTCTCTCTCTCTCTCTGTCTCTCTCTTTCTTCTGCAGACCTAGTAAGGCGCGTTGCAACTTCCAACTGAATAAGCATCACTTCCACCTCCAACGATGTAGCCTTTGATGTAATATCTACGCCATTGCCTGTTCTTTTTCTATTTTATATCTCTATCATCTTCATCGTTTCGGTACGCCTGTCGTCTTCCTCTTGACTATTTTTCATTATCGTGTTCTTTGCATATATGTGTTTCTTTTCTTCTATAATAGTAGTAATGTGCTTTTAATTAGTTATCATTACTAAGACGGGATATGACAAACTCGACATATTGAATACAGCGTTATTTTCACACTGTTCCGTGCCAATAGAATAAAAATTTGTTTAACGATTTAAATTTCTGACAACTTTATTAATATAATTTGGGTTTAAGGGGATCAGACTTCATTTAAGATATTCTACAAAATTTCATGTTATTACAACTTAAACTCTTAGATTAGCTGGATTTTAATAAACCCCACCTTGGTAACCGTATTACCGTGCTACTTTTTTTCTTAGTAATACCCGGGTTAAGGAAGATTACGGTCAAATTTTATCTATATTGCACAAGGACAAAGGTCAGGAAAAAAAATGAATACTTAACAAATTAATAAAATTCGTATGGCTCAAATGTGATAAACACAAATTTGAAGGAATAAAGGACTAATAGCCGTGACAGGGTGTTAGGGTCTACATATTTCATATTTAAATTTATTGCGAAAAATATTATAATACCTCACCCAGGGTTTAAACCTGAATCTCCCTCTCACTAGGCGGGCGTCTCAACCAATTGGACCATCGAGGCATATGGAAATACTCATCGCAATAAACAGTCTAATGTTGAATACTTAATTTAAAAGACTAGTTAATTTTTTCCAGGATAGATGAATTTATACATTACTAAATTTAAACGTACACATTGAGCACGTCACAGCCATAATGAACGATCGCTTGCGTTATCAGTTGAAAAATTGTCATAATCGAACCATTCAGTGCGTGCAGAGGTAAATACGCAACGGCATGACACAGATATTACTTGTGCGAGGAGTGAAGAATGGCCACAATTATACGCGACAGCGCATGGAGGGACATCACGATTCATCAAACGGCATTAATCTCTCTCCGTCGTGAGTGAGATAAGACCGCGCTTTTTTTTTTGCCCGCGAATACACGCGCGAGACGCGCGTCCGGCCGGGGCTTTGTTTCTCTTTCGCGCGTTACGCGGACTCGCCGAACCCGCTTCCGGTTTCCGGCAGACTTCCGCCCTCGTAGCATCCGTGAAAAATTGCATTCATCCGTCGACAGCACAGCGTACCTCCTCCTGATGACGCGAGATGAATATCCCTCTCTGCAGAGGTTCTCTGTCTTTCGCAATTTCATGCAATCTCTGGCGACACAGTGCCAATCCTTTTTTCCCAGTTTTTTTTTATCGACCTCCCATGCGTATACATGTGCGTACATATTTCCTACGTCGATTCTGCCCCCATCATCGGTGTCGTCTTTTCGTTACTCTTCTCTCTCTCTCTCGTATTGCGCGTCGTTTCGCTCTTTTTGCTTAACAGGGCTGTTTCCCCCTTCGGGCAAGATCACATCCATCATCCGAGGCAACCAAATCTCGGCATTTGTTGAGGTCTTCATCTTCCAACTCCATGGCCACAGCGGCTCCTTTCAACATCGATGAAGGGGTCGTTGCTGGCAGGTCCGACACGCCGTTTCACCGTGTACATTCTCACGTGTCGGCACTCAATTTCGTGTCATTTGTGATAACCCACGTTATATTTGCTTACCTTCGAACAACGTTTGCTTTTAATATATATACCCGTAAAAAGATTGTGAACGAAATGAGAAAGAGAGAGAATCTAATCCGCTCGCAAAATCGTGAACAATGAATATTGCATTGAATGTTTGAATTATACGTATAATATAATTCCGTGCAGCGCCGTAATGTTTTGTAATAGAAACATCGCATTACCGATATGACAAAAAGTTGGAAATGCCATTGCGTTTTTACATTGAAAATCCGCGATACGCAGACAGTTATAATTTCCTGGCTGGCATAACGAGGACAAATTCGTTATCGGGATTCTCATTAGAGATAGCTGGAGCATCCCGGCGATTTGATCATGCGATTTTCTCTTTCTGTTGTATACCAGTGATTGGAAATCGCTCTTGTCGTTAAGCCAAATCGCGTTTCTAGATTGTCTCGTTACCTCGAGCTATTCTGGACACCTCGGTCCAGGGACTCGATAAGGTAGAGTCCGGGGCCAGAGGATCGAACTAAAGCTCGTGTTGTGAAAGTCTGGGGTCCAATTATCAGCCTCTGCGGGATTCAAAGCAGCTTGCACCTTTATTATGTTCGCCAATCGCCATACGATACGCTATTAACGGGGTGGCCTGATTTACGTATCTAGGTATCTCGCACGCGTTTCCGATTACTATTCGATATACATGTGTGTCAGGGATTAAATGTGATCGATATACACGGAATGACGACCGGCGATGAGCACCTTAACCCCTTTATAAATTATAAAAGAGACGTCGCGTCGTCGTCACGTCGCTCTATATGTAAGTATATTGATCCTAAGAGGTCAATAAACGGGGTCACGTTTAATCTTCCGCAATTACGTAAAGATAATTCCGAAATATTGCATGATTAATGAGAAGTGGGATTATCGATTTGGTTTTATTCGACGCACAGCGACTTTCTCGTTTACGTCAGAGTGTACGTAATTTCTGGATTACTAGTTGAAAATGGATTAACGATTACTTAAACTTTTATTTATATATTCGTGTTTGCCGTACAAAGAAGGGTCGAACGAGAAGATCGATACACGAGTATAAGCTCGGCTGTCCAGCGAGCGATCCTTCAACGATCGTTACGCGGACTCAATTATACGGGCCAGCGACGTAGTCTACGTTCTGCGCCATAGTTTCCCACGTGATACGACACAACGGGTCATTGGCATAATGAAGAAACTTGGCGCGGGAGAAGTGGTCCCCGGCAGAAAGGAACGTGGTGAAAGATTTCGAGC